ACCATCACCATCACCACCACCATCACTATCACCACCACCACTATCACCACCACCATCAGGACCACCACCACCATCATCACTACCACCTCCACCACCATCAACATCACTATCATCATCTCCACCACCACCACCATCACCACTATCACCACCACCACCACCATCATTATCACCATGCTTCACTCCCTCTGACTTTTATAGGTACCCCTCTTCTTCTCCCAAGGACACTTTTTTCTGGAAGATTCCAGTGTGGCAATAAGGGTTTGACAGGAGGTTTTTTGACTAAAGGTGAATTAAGGGGCTTGCTAAAAGATAAAAAGTGTTATTAAAAGTAAAACAGCAGGCTGGGCACGGTGGTTCACGCCTGTAATCCCAGCACGTTGGGAGGTCAAGACGGGTGGATTGCCTGAACTCAGGGGTTCTAGACCAGCCTGGGCAACACAGTGAAACCCCATCTCTACCAAAAATACAAAAAATTAGCTGGGTGTGGCAACGTGCGCCTATAATTCCAACTACTTGGGAGGCTGAGGCAGGAGAATCACTTGAATCCGGGAGGCGGAGGTTGCAGTGAGCTGAGATGGCGCCACTGCCCTCCATCCTGGGCAACAGAGCAAGACCCCATCTAAAAAAACACAAAAAACAAAACAACAACAAAAATAAAACAGCAGAAAGTCATGTTTAACCAGCTCAAGAAAGCACACTCATCAATCGTGTTCAAAATCGCTAGTAAAGCACCAACCACCATATGTGATATTTATTCAATTAGTATATAAAAGAGATTTTAAGATAAAATTTCTGGTCAGAAGTCCACTGTCAGCTATTAGCTGAAGCTGTCCTTATTTGAAAGTAATAAGATTTTTTTTTTTTTTGACACATTTCTGGTGTTTTAAGATGGCTGAGCCAGCCAAGTCTGCTCCCGCCCCGAGGAAGGGCTCCAAGAAGGCGGTGACCAAGACGCAGAAGAAAGATGGCAAGAAGCACAAGTGCAGCCGCAAGGAGAGTTACTCTGTGTAAGCACACAAGGTGCTGAAGCAGGTCCACCCCGACACCGGCGTCTCTTCCAAGGCCATGGGCATCATGAATTCTTTCGTTAACGACATAAAGATGTCAACATAAAGCGTATTGTGGGTGAGGCTTTCGCCTGGCACATTACAACACGAGGTTGACCATCACCTCCAGGCAGATCCAGACGGCCCTGTGCCTGCTGCTGCCCGGAGACCTGGCCAAGCACACCGTGTCGGAGGGCACCAAGTACACCAGCTCCAAGTAAACTTTCCAAGGGGAGACAACAGCTTTTAGGCATATCTTTTCCAGGAGTCGTCAGTGCTGGACACTGTTTAATCTTGCAAATAAACCAATGAAAATGAGTGATGCTAGAAGAAGATAAATGGAGGTATTTTGAACAATCAAAGAAGGACCAATGAACACCTGGCTAAGAAAAATTAGCCCGTGTTTTTCTACGTATGAAACTATTACAATGTTCTTCATAGAAATGTATGAAACGAGAAATATAAAGACAAAATTAAAGTAACTCCTAGTATCTCCTATTCTTTTTAGATGTATATCATACATTCATATTCATATATACCTATATCTCACATCATGTATCATATATAAAATAAATTTAGGTGTCATATGATATATATATATTTAGATAAATATACCTAGAAACATTTTTTATGGATGTATAATTTATGGATATATTGATAATTATGTAGTTATTCGTTATTGACTATTTCAATTGATTCCCATTTTCATTTTATGCATTATAGATCATGCAGCTCACACATCTTTGCACATAAATCTTTGTTCAAATATTATTTCCTAAGGATAGACTTCATGAAGTGGAAATACTAAATCAAAAGTGAAAAACATTTTCTAAGATTCTTAAA